TTTTGATAGTACTAATGAATGTTAATTCAAAGTATAACTAAATAGTTTTATTTTGAACAAAATAATAGTGAATTAAATAAATCAAACAATTATAACTCCGCCTACAAATAAACTGCTAAAGAATTACTTTGATTACCAGTTTTATCTTTTTTCCCTGATTGATACGGTTTTATGCTGGCACGTGTTTGTGACAGCTGGGGTGAAAGCGAGACGGAAAAGAGGAAAGGCTGGTAGTAAAACCATTTCAGTTATAGCTAGTTTTGGTGAGGAGTTTACTTATTCTCCTTTTAAATTTTTCAACAATATCTACTTTATCTTGGAAAAGAAGCAGTTTTATATGCATGCCAGAATTATTAAAGAAATCTTGATAGTTACAGATATTTCATTTTCTTCGAAAAAAATACTGGAATGAAATGTTTGACGTACCAGGTTTTTCTCTTTTCCGTCTTGCTATATAAGGGCTTTCACCCATGTGTAACAGTCGGCGCGAAAGGGTTAAGAGAAATCTGATTGCAAACAATAAACAATAACGTTTTCGAAAAGCTCATTTATTGAAAAAATAAAAGAGTGGTATTAACATAATCTCATTAATAATATTTGTCTCGGACATTTTTCGAAGATGTGAAGGTATTTAAATCAACAGATTCACAGCCAGTAAAAAGAAGTAACTTATCTCTCATTGAAGACTGGTAATCTATAAATATAAAACGAAAGTTACATTTTCTTATTTCAGCAACCATTTTAGTATTTAAAATAAGTTTATTTTAATAAACAAAATTTTATTATCACGCGAATACATCAAATTTTCTGCAAAGATATCTGTACGTTAATATTCGTTTTTCTAAAATTTCATCTGTTTTATTGAACTAAACTGATATCTGTCAACTTTTACGCATTCGGCGTAAAATGTTATTTCTATATTTAAAGTGGTAGTAAAATGTATGCTTTCCATTCATTCCTTACATTAATAAACTTAATTTATAATCTTTTTAACCACCACTATTTTTTAAAAAATCCAAGCATATATATTATTATGTAATACTGTTTAGATGGTCCGCATACGGCCAACATAATACAGCGTATATTTCTGCCTAAAATTGTAATATAAATTCCATTTTACTACCACGGGGGAAAATCATCTTTGAAAGGATTAAAAGTTGGCAGGTATGTAAAGTGTAGGGAAGAATTTCTTTTCGCCATATCGCGTGAGTGACAAGGAGAGTGTTAATTAGGTTAAATAGTATAAAGTGGTCGCATAACACAACAAAAATTAGTGCTAGCGAATCATCAAAAATATCTTAATGCCGCTCAAAACTCTCATGAAACAAGAAACAAATATAAAAATTATTTCCCAGTGGAATCTTACGATAGTTTTTAAGTTTTTACTATACATAGAAACTATATTTTTGTCAATTGTCTTAATTCTATATTCTCTGAGAAAAAATATTCTTTGAAAGATTAAAGGTTGCCTGGTTTTATAAACCTGGTTTAAATAATATTGACATATTTTAAATATTTTAAAATTAAAAAAAAATGGAATCAAATAAAATAAGGAAAAGAAGTAATATCATTATCAGATCAAGCGTTTATATCCGAAAAAAATAATGCTTTCTTATATTGNCAGCTGTAATCACAATTTTTGAAAATTGTAATCATGATTACAAGTAATTGATCACTGTAATCAAAAAATGTAATCGATTACATTTTTGGCCAACTCTGGTATTGATATCGCCAAAACAAAACATATCAATGCAATAGTGAGAGTAGCACAAAAAATATTGAAACGAAAATAGAACCCATTAAGCAAACGATGCAAAATTTCCAAACTTTTTAAATTTGTCGATATTTTTTGAAAATATTTTTTATAATTTTTTTCTTCTGCTCGTGGAAATCTTTTTATCTTTCTCCTTGTTTTCTCAATATTTTAAACTTGTTTTCTGAGTTCCATGTACTTGAAGATTAGGCGCAGTTAATTAAACTCAGTATTATTTCGCTTAGCTTTTTTTGCTAATCTCTCTTTTCCTTTATCGTTTTTGTCTTTATTATATGTAATTGTATAAACACACAGACAGATATATATATATATAGTTCTTTCTTTATTTAACAGATATCCATCTCATCCCAATTACTGCTCACTTTTGTGTAATGCTTCATACCGTATTACTACCAAAGTCGTTAATATCAACTTCACATTCTGCATCAAAAAATACGTAATTAATGATTATGTATTTTGAATCATTACTTAATAATTCAAAATAATTCCGTAATGATTCCATGAAATGATTACGTAACGAATACACTTTATCATTACGTTTAAGCATTGATAAAGTGGGCGTTACCTAACATCCATGCCTCTCCTCCTAGATCAGGGTTTCTTAACCTGTGGTTCATGGACCCCTTAAGGGTCCGGGTCATATTTTGGGGGTCCGCTGACTGCTCCTAATTTTTAAAACGTTAGGATCAATAATGCAGTCGAACTTGTTTATAACGAGCTCGGATTTAACGAGAACTCGGATTTAAAGAGGGAAACGATAATATTTGGTTGGATCAATGTTAAGTTTATGGAGCAAAAGTCGCTTTTAACGAGCAAGACCCGGTTTTGGCGAGCAATATTTTTCTGTCTTGCAATCTTTTTTCGCAACTTTCTAATCTTTCTGTCTTATCTTTTTTTCAAAATGAGCGAGAAATCAAAAAAAAAAATCGCGAACTGAAACTTAATTGCCCTTATCACTCTAAAGCTTTACCTGTTGACGAAAAAGTAAAAATTTTACAGGAATTGGATGACGGTGTTAAAAATGTCGAAATCTGCAAAAGGTATGGATTGTCTTCATCTACTGTTTCCACACTGCTAAAAAACAAAGGCAAGTTAATGGATGCACACGACCAAAATAAAACAGACTGTAAACGACTAAAGAAGTGTTCAAAAGAGGATTTGAACGAAGCGTTATTGAAATGGATGAAGATGCAACGTAGTGCTGATTTACCTGTGAGTGGACCTATTCTAAAAGTGCAAGCAGAAAAATTTGCTGAACAATTTGGATATTCTGAGTTTGTTGGGGGGAGGGGTTAATTGTCATTAAATTAAGAAAAGTATTTAATTAAATTAATTAAAGCAAGTATTAATTAAATTTTAACTAAACTTAATCATTTGAACTCCCAAGCCCCCCCCCCTCTTCTGGTTGCACGCCTGCCTTAAGGATCCGTTTATTACGAGCACTCGGATTTAACGAGTACATGTTACGGTCCCTTTGTGCTCGTTATAAACGAGTTCGACTGTATTTATTTAACATTGATCTTTTTTTTCTTCCAAAAGGTAGAAATACATACATATTTGAAACTAAGTGATTTGTGAGCGGAAAGAAGATCGAGATACCTTAAATTCCGCTCGAACTGCACACGAATATCCCTGTCATATTTTTAACATCCTCCACCAACCG